AAATAAAATCTTTAAAAAAAAAAAAAAAAAGAGTAGGAGGCAGTGGGCAGTAAACTGCGCCATCTGGACCTGCAGCTGACCCTCCGCTAGCCACGCACCCACAAGACGCAAGGGCTGACGGCACACAGGGCACTTCCGCTCTCAGGACAGGCATGCTGTGCTGGGGGAGCTGGGGAGAATGCCTCTGACAACATCCCGATGGCCCCAGAGAGGAGGAGGGAGCTCCAAGCACTGAGGAGCGCCCCATTTCACGATGACTCCGGGAAGCACGTTCCGCATGCTTTACAAAGCAGTGGAATAGCTTACTCTCCACCTTCTTGTGAAGTAGCTCATGCAGATTTTGCTCCTCATTCTCCAGAAGAGGAAACTGAGGCCCAGAGAGTGAAGCGGCTTGTCTAGAACCCACAGTGACAGGTGGAGGGAGAGTTGGGGTCAAGGAACCGTGGCCCTCCCAGCCCCTTTGCTTCCTCTGCCACTCCAGAGCCAGGCCTGCCCCCCTCTCTCCTGGCCTCAGCGACTGAACATCCTTCTGGGCACAGCACGGGCGATTCAGTTTTTACACCAGGACAGCCCCAGCCTCATCCATGGAGATGTCAAAAGGTGAGGCGGGGACACAGGCCCCTGGGGCCTCTAAGCGCTGTAAGGATAGAGTCTGTGGCAGGGGAGTGATGCTCCCAAACCTTCTGTCAGTAGGCAGCAGTGGTACTTGCTCTCTGAGCCCCGAGGAGCCCTGCTCTGGGTGTCCCCCATGAGAATAGGCCTGCCCTCTCCTGCTTGAGGCTGAGGTGAGGGACGGGGTGGAGCCCTGGGACATCAGAGCTGGGGGCCCTGGGTCACTGAGTACCTGGCATGGGACAGGTGTGGAAGCAGAGGCCAAGGATGCCCCCCCCCCCCCCCGGTGAGCACGGACCGAACCGTGTGAGGGAGCCCCCGGGTAGCTGGACCACCCTGAGTCCAGGGTTGTCAGGGCCAGGCAAGTGTCGGGTGCAGAGCGGGCCAGAGCCGACCTGACACCGCTCCTTCCCTCCCCAAGTTCCAACGTCCTTCTGGATGAGAGACTGATGCCCAAACTGGGAGACTTTGGCCTGGCCCGTCTCAGCCGTTTTGCAGGGGCCAGTCCCGGCCAGAGCAGCACGGTGGCCCGGACACGGACCGTGCGTGGCACCCTGGCCTACCTGCCTGAGGATTACGTCAAGACAGGGAGACTGGCCGTGGACACGGATACCTTCAGCTTCGGCGTGGTGAGCCCCTGGCCCCTTTGCTGGCTTGGGGGTGGGGGAGTTGTGGCCAAGCAAAGGCAGGAGGGCCTGAGTCATTCCATATGAGACCGGAGGCCAATCTGGCAGGAAGCTAACAGGAGCCTCAGCTCAAGAGCCCCTCTCTACTTGACATGGGCCCCTCCCATGAGGGCCCTGCATCTCATTTCATATGTGTAATTTTGCAGTCCTTTTCCTCAAGTGGGCCCTCCAAACCACCGAAGCATCAGTGCCATAGCCCGCCCTCATCTGCCCGTCTAAGGGCTGTGCCCCTGTCAGCCTTAGCGGCCTCTTTGGGCCAGGCCGCCCTGTCCACCCCGCAAGCCCCGCCGCATATGGCCCTCCCTGCCAAGCCCCCGGGAGCCACTGCAACACTCTCTGTCCTGCCCTCTCCAGGTAGTGCTGGAGACCCTGGCCGGCCAGAGGGCCGTGAGGACGCATGGTGCCGGGACCAAGTATCTGGTGAGCCTCCTGAAGTGGGGCAGGGACGGAGGGAGGCGGGCAGGGAGGCAGAGGGGAGAGGGAGGGAGGGAGGCAGGCAGGGAGGCGCTACTCCTGATAACCAACAGGTGCAGCCCTGGAGGGTGGAATGATCTGGAACGCAGTGCCCCACAGAAGCCAGCCTCTGCTGCTGCTGACTCATCTTTGAAAGTAGGCAGGGCTCCAAACAGCTTCCCTTGACCTTGCTCAGGAAAAACATGTCTTTCTTCTGCAGATGCTAGGGGCCTTTCCAGACCCCGCCTGGGCCGGGAGTGGGGAGGGGGTCGTCCCAGCAAGGCAGTCCCAGTGCTCTGGGACCAGAAGCTACAGCAGAAAACAGAGCACAGGGCCCTGGGAGAGGCTGTGGTGGGCAGTCGGGCGCGCCGTAGATGAGCGCTCCACATTGGGGCGGAGCTGCCCCCGCCCCTTGGCTGAGACAGGAGGCGTGGGTTCTAGTCCCAGTTTGACAGTGGTCCTCGCTGGGCCCGCTTCCCCACATGTGAACAGACCTTATACACGTGCCGTGCTCAGAGCCTTCTCGGGCCCGGAACGCATCCGGTCACGTTTGTTCTTTACGTTTTACAACTGGTATACCTCCTGCTGCTCCTGTTCCTGGCCTGGGGCTGTTTCTGTCCATTACCGGGTCTCGGTGGGTCAGGCTACAATCGGGGAGCCAGCCAGGAGCCCTCCTTCCTTCACCATCTACATCCGTCAGCACGTCCTGTTGGCTCTGTGTGTAGAGCCAACCCAACTGAGGCTGCTCTCCATGTTGTCATAGCTGCCCCAGGGCAGTGGGCCAGACCCCTCAGGGATCCTTCTTTGGGCTTCTTTGGACCCTTCCTATTTGTTCTCCATGTCACGGCCAAAGCGATCTTTCAAAAACAGAAAAAGAGATTGTGGAAGCCCCTTTGCCTTCCCACCGTGCTTGGGGTGAAGGCCCAATCCCTTAACATGGCCACAACTCCCCAGGTCCTGCTATCACCAACCTTCTCTCTGTCCCCCAAACTCAGCTAGCTTCCCGCTGCCTGCCCCAGGGCCTTGGTTTGAACCTTTCCTTCTGCCTCAAAGGCCACCCCCCGACCCAGGTGCTTCCTCCTGGTCCTTCCCATCTCAAAACCCAGGACAGCCTCCAGTTCCGTTTGCACCCCTGGGTACCTCTCTGTGAGGTACTCCCTTTCCTCCTCGGCTCTGACCTCTGGCTAATCTGTGCCTTCAGATCTCAGCTCCCAAGTGCTACTTGCTCAGGCCTTGGTCAAAAGCCCCATGGGCCCGTCTGTCGAAGTTTTCCGTTGGTTTAGAGGCTTGTCAGTGTCTCTCCCACAGCAGGAGGTCAGTTCTATGAAGGTGGGCCCGGGGTGCTCTGTCACTAGATCCCTAGGGCCTTGGGGCAGTGCTGGGCACACAATGGGTGCTTAATAAATCTTAAGAAAGACCACAGGAGTCAGTGATGAGAGCCTGGGGAATGGGGCTGAAGGCATCCTCGCCCCCGCCCCCCCCCCGGCCCCGTGGCCACGCTCATATTATCTGTCCCACAGAAAGACCTCGTTGAAGAAGAGGCCGAGGAGGCCGGGGTGACTTTGAAAAGCACCCAGACCACACTCCAAGCAGGTCTGGCCACAGATGCCTGGGCTGCCCCAATTGCCACCCAGATCTGTAAGAAGCACGTGGACCCCAGGCCTGGGCCATGCCCACCCGAGCTGGGCCTGGCCCTGGGCCAGCTGGCTTGCTGCTGCCTGCACCGCCGGGCCAAGAGGAGACCCCCCATGACCCAGGTAGCCCTGGGCAGGGGGGAGGCCGGTGGGGATGGAAAGTGGTCGAGACTCTGGCTGCCCATGGCAGGTGGTAGCCCATCAGGGGCCCCGCATTCCGGGTGCTGCCCATGCCACCTGCCAGACCTCAGATGTTGGTAGCTTGCCCTTCAGTTCTGCTGAGGGTGCCTGGAGCCTCCTGCGGAAGCCCACTGCTGGAGAGAGAGAAGCGAAGGGCTTTTCCGGCGCCCCCTTCTGGGTGTTCTGTGCCGCCGCAGCTGCCCGACCCTCCCCTCTTCTCCCCTGACGGGTGAGAACGGAGACGCCCCGTTTGAGGGCAGCAGGGCAGTGCGATTTGCCTTCCAGCAGACAGAGAAAAGCCATTCTCAGTCCTTCGTTTCGGTGGCCGCGACTTCTCAACATTCCTTGCGACAGGGATGAAAAGGCAAGGGGCGTAGCTTTCCCAGCTTCGCGGTCCCTGCAGCAGCCCTGTGGTGGGACCGCGGTGTTCTGGGGCAGGGCCCTCTGACGGGACGGCCGTGCGTGGTCTGAGCGGCCGGCGTGGCCTGCCCGTGGAGCTGGGGAGCGGCCCGGCCCAGCCCACTCCCCCTGAGAGCCCCCTCTCTCCTCACAGGTGTATGAGAGTCTGGAGAAGCTGCAGGCGGCCGTGGCAGGACCAGCCCTGCAGCCAGAGGCTGCCAGCCGAGGCCCCTCTTCCCCGCAGGAAAACTCCTACATTTCCCTCACTGGCAGTGCCCCACGTGGTGCCAGCCCACTGCAGCCCCTGGCGGTTCCCTCAGGAGCACCAGCCCAGGCTCCGGAGTGGCTCCAGAAAGGCCCCAACCAGCCCGTGGAGAGTGACGAGAGTGTGTCCGGGCTGTCTGCTGCCCTGCATTCCTGGCACCTGAGCCCGAGCTGCCCCCCGGGCCTGGCCTGGCCAGGCAGCCCCGGGCAAGGGGCCACCGTGTGGGCCCCAGCAGCCCTTGGGCAGGCCGGCTGTACTCAAGGGGGCGCCACCCAAGAGTCGAGCTGGGGGAGTGGCCCAGGGCCCCAGCTGACAGCTCTGGAAGGTAGCTGGGGACAGGTGCCCAGAAGAGGGACCGGGGGCCTCTTTTGGTGACAGTCCCCATACTCCCTGCCCCCAGCCTTCTGGGAGGAGAGAACTGGGGGCCTGCTCTTAATCTCACTCCGTCCTTAGCAAGCTCCAGGCCCTGCCCTCCAGGTGGGTGAGAAGGGGCCAGGAGCTCACTTCCTGAAAGCCGGGAACAAGGAAGGCTTTATTCAGGACTGGGTTCCTGGCCTAGCTGGGAGCCCGGGCGACGGCATGGCCCCTTCCAGGCCCTTCCTTCAGAGACGGCACGGAGGACTTCTGTCCCAAAGGGTCAGGGAGCTAAGCTGGGGGCTGGGAAGACCCGTGAGGCCAGCGGCGTCACTGAGGAGTGCCCAGGGACCGCGGCCTCGGCAGCTGAGAGGTGCTCTCTCTGCCCCAGGATCGCTCGTGAGCAGCTCCGCCTCATCGCGGCCGCCGCGGATCGTCATCAACCCGGCCCGACAGAAGATGGTGCAGAAGCTGGCCTTGTATGAGGATGGGGTCCTGGACAGCCTGCAGCTGCTGTCATCAAGCTCCCTCCCAGGTACCCCTGGGACTGGCCCCATACTCGAGGGACAGGGCTTGGCTGTGCGCTCTGCAGCTGGATGGCCAGCCTCCAGGGCCGCTCGGGCATGCTTCCTCATGCCAGCCCCGAACAGCACAGTGTTTGTTCCCATCGGGCATGGACAAGGCCCCTGCTCCCTGAGGGCGTGGGACAGCTCAAAGGCAGGCCACCCCTCTTGACGATGGCCAGAAGCCCAGCCTGCCCCCGACGCCTCCCCCAGGAAGTTGTGTATTCTGGACAAGGCCTTGTGCGAGCTCCCTCGCCTCCTCCTCGCAGCAACACCTTCCCTTAGCCTGGGGGTGCCAGCCCCCCCCCATTGCTTCCAGAACATATGAAGCTGCAGCAGGTACTTTCCCTTCCAGGTGCCATTTGAAACCCCTAATTCCAGGGAATGCCCAGGAGCTGAGATGACAGCACAGTCCAGCCCTTGAGCCAGGCCTTCTGGCAGCTGGGGAGCCTCCCCCGCTTACTAACTGGTATTTCTTCCTTCTACAGGCTTCGCTGTGGAACACCAAAACAGGCAGGGGCCCGAAGAGAGTGATGAATTTCAGAGCTGATCTGTTCACCTGGCACATTCCCCAAACCTGGAAGTCAAAGTTCTCATAGTCGGAAGTTCTCATGGCTCTCGAATCCTCAGCAGCCCGTGGGCGGTGGGGGGGTGGGGGCCTCCTCTGCACAGGGGAGAGCAGGTGGTGGCCCCAGCTGCGCTCGGGGTGTGGGCACAGGCCGGGCTCGGAGCGCCCCCGGCCAGCTGCTAGAAGCTGTCTCAAGGCCTGCCTTCGTTCCAGCATTTGGGGGACAGGAAAGCCGTTACTGTCGGGGCGGAGAGGTGAGCGGGGTGGCCAGTCCAGTAGGATGGAGCAGGGAGCTGGCTCCCCTAAGACCTGGGCAGGGCAGCCCTTAGGCCTTCTCTTTGGACTTGGCTGAAGCCCCAGGGAGAAGAGGCTGCTCTGTAGGAGAGAGCATATGAGGCCTGGGGCCCTCCCAGCCTCTTGTAACTTGAAAAAGTAAGGTGTGGCTGTTCTGTGGTTCGGTTCACGCACGAGACACCCGAGAGCCCGGCAGTGCCCTCTCAGGCTGCACCAGGGACCCGGGAGCAAAGCCTAACGTGATGGCCTGCCGGCCAGGCCACCCCTGGGTGCGCCCGCCGACGGGTGCCAAGCCAGGTCAGGCTCCAGAGGCCACTGGCTCGGTCTCACTCAGGGCCAGGCAGTGACAATGACAGAGGGGCCACTGCCCAGGTCTGGGCTAGGCCCAAACCTTAAGTTACCCAGACAGCGAGAAGCCCCAGGAAGGTGGGGAGTTGGAAGCAAGGCAAAGAAGGAGGAAGAAGAAAATCGGACTCACATTTTTAAAAGCAAGTCAGGTTTCATGTAATTGAGTGTCTTGGAAAGATGTTTTATCTGCGACCATGAGTCACACTACATGCCCCACGAAGCTAGGCGTTGCTGAAGTCCAAGTTGTCCAGGAGGAATAAAAGCTTACGTCTCAACCTCTGGCTGTACTCGCGGAGTTTGTTGCGCTGAAAGGCTTGAGTCTTTCCGATGCTTCTCATCTCGGGGTTCCTAACTCCAACCCCGACATCAGACATGCTGCCCCATGCCCCACTAAACAAATCCTCCAGAGGCCCTCCTTTCCACACCCATGTTTTTTTTTATGGTTTTGATGCTATTGTAAATGGTATCTTTATTCCATTTTCTTTCCTTTGGGGTTGGGGGGGGCAGAAGGAGAGAAAGAGAGAGAATCTCAAGCAGGCTCCGTGTCCAGCGTGTGAGCCCAACTCGAGGCTCCATCTCCTGATCCTGAGATCATGACCTGAGCCAAAACCAAGAGTCCGACACTCAACTGACTGAACCACCCAGGTGCCCCTTTATTTCATTGTCTAACTGATCATTGATAGTTTCTGGAAATGCAATTCAGCTTTTTAAACTTTATTTATTTTTAAAGATTTTACCATTTCAGAGGGGGAGAGAGAGCATGAGCAGGGGGAGTGGGAGAGGGAGAAGCAGGCTCCCCACTGAGCAGGGAGCCCGATGCGGGGCTCGATCCCAGGACCCTGGGATCATGGCCTGAGCTGAAGGCAGACGCTTAACGACTGAGCCACCCAGGCGCCCCCCAAATAAAATCTTTAAATTTCTTCAGATATTGGGCCATTTGGATTTTGTTTCTTCTTCCTGTGTCTGTTTCAGAAATTTGTGTCTTTCAAGGAATTTGCCTGTTGTATCTAAGTTGACATAAAGTTAATGATACCCCTTTATCAACCCTTTATAGGATCTGCACTGATGTCCCCTCTCATTCCTTGTATTGGTAGTTTGTGTCTTTCCTTCTTTCTTGATCAGCCTAGATAGAGGCTTATTGGTCATTCTAAGGAACCAAGTTTTGGTCTCATTGATTTTTCTCCATCGTTTATCCATTTTCTATTGATGATTTCCACTCTTTTATCATTTCCTTTCTTTTACTTAGTTTGGAGTAATAAAACTTATTTGGGGCTTAACTTGCTCATCCTTTCCAGCTTCTTAAAGTATAACCTTAAATCATTTATTTTAAACCTTTTTATCGGGGCACCTGGCGGGCTCAGTCAGTGGAGCATGTGACTCTTGATCTCAGTGTCGTGAGTTCAAGCCCCACGTTGGGCATGGTGCTTACTTAAAATTAAAAAAAAAAAAATTAAACCTTTCTTTTTCTAACATAAGCATTTAAAGCTATAAACTCCCTTTAAGAACATCTTTAGCTGCATTCTATGCATTTGGATATGTTCTGTTTTCATTATCATTGAGTTCATAATGTTTTCTAATTTCCCTTGTGATTTACTTCCTTAACCAATGACCTTCTTGGAAGTGTATTTAATTTCCAAATATTTGAGAATTTGGCCTATATCTTTTTGTTATGTGTTTTTATTTATTTTTTTTAAAGATTTTATTTATTTATTTGACACAGAGAGAGACACAGCGAGAGAGGGAACACAAGCAGAGGGAGTGGGAGAGGGAGAAGCAGGCTTCCCGTGGAGCAGGGAGCCCGATGCGGGGCTCGATCCCAGGACCCCGGGATCATGACCTGAGCCGAAGGCAGACGCTTAACGACTGAGCCACCCAGGCGCCCCTGTTATGTGTTTTTAATTACATTAATTACATTGTAGTACAGAGAATTTACTCTGTCTGATTTCATTTCTTTTAAAATTGAGACTTGTTTTATGACTTAGCATATGGTTTAGCTTGGTGAATGTTCCATGCTTATTTGAAAAGAGTGTATGTTCTGCAGTTGGGTGGTGTGTTCTATAAATGTCAATTAGCTCAAGGTGGTTGATAGTGTAGTTCAAGTCTTCAGTATCCTTACTGATTTTCTCTCTACCAGTTGTCTCTGGCAGACTGAGAGGGAAGTATCACAGTCTCCAAATGTAATTATGGGTTTGTCTTTCTCCTCCTGGTTCTGTCAGAGTTTGCTGCATCTAATTGAAGCTCTTGTTGGGTGCATACACATTTAGGAATGTTATGTGTTCTTTTTGTTTGAAAGATTTTATTTGAGAGAGAGGGAACACAAGCACGGGGAGGGGCAGAGGGACAAGCAGACTTCCCGCTGAGTGGGGATGCCCAGCGCGGGGCTCCATCCCAGGACCCTGAGATCGTGACCTGAGCTTAAGTCGGACGTTTAACTGACTGAGCCACCCAGGCGCCCTGGACTGTTATGTGTTCTTGATAAATTGACCTTTTTATTATCAGGAAATGCTCCTCTTTATCTCTGGTAATGTTCCTTCTTTTGACATCTGCTTGGTCTGGTGTAGCCAACCCACTTCCTTATGCTTAATTTATTTCTCTATATAACTTTTTTCTGTTCTGTTCTTTTAACTTGTCTGTGTCTTTATTTAAAGTGCAACTATAGACAGCATGTGGTTTGGGCTTACTTTTTTAAAGAG